TTATACACGTTTCAAATGAAGCTTAGTAGAAGCTTGATGAAGACGTTTGTCTGTTTAGCATTGTTCTAATCAAGTATATGATAGGATTTAGCTGAGGTGGTCAAAAAGAACAACTCGTTATTCATTCAACATTTGGAATCGTGCGCACGTTTGCTTTACGATAGGTCTGTAGTCGATTCCGGTGATCACGTAACGTGTGCACGTCACGTATTGATGGCTTGATCGTACCGAGCTATACAACTCGGACCAACTTCAGATTTCGCTCATTGACGAATCGTCGATGAGTTATTAGATCACCACACGTAGACGCTTATATATATATACATGTAAGTTCTCAATGAGATGCTCCCTGCATTGATCACAGTTCAAAAGTCAATGTCGGAGTGATTATGTATTCTAGACTACAGCTTGTCTGAAGTGATTCAGAAGCTACTCAATGGTTTGTGGTTACTACTAACCAAACTACGATCACGAAGCCATCAACATTGGAAACCAGGACATCAGTTATGCCCAAATGATCTATTTTTTCAAATTTAAAAGTCCTCCGTACCTGTACCTGTATGACCTTAAACGTCGATTCGAAATGCTGTCAAGTGCATTATTGAGATATTTAATGAATAAACGAAGGATTTTTTGTCGAAATGAATTTGTTTAAACATGTACGTAGGACGTACTTACGACAGCATACCTGTTAGTACGAGGGTATAAGGTAGCGTATATGGTACTCGAGCTGCCAAAGCCAACGAACTCTCGCGGTGATCAAAGGAACGTCCCGTATGTGTACTACAGGACACTCAAAGCTGTAAAGAAGGGAATAAAACACGCCACGAAATAAATGTTGCATCATGCCTTCTTATAAATCCAATTGAAGAAAAATGAAAGCATGTACATTTATTGTAACACATATGGGTAGTCCTGCTCAAAGCAGCCTATGCTTACAACAGTTTGGGGGGCAATCTAACTTTATATAGCTGAAGTTTGTCCAGTTAATTTCATCCAGGTGCTGCTTTGATATGCCCAAGCTACAGGCTACGCGAAATATACGTGTGGAAAACTGTCGAATCGGGCAGAATATGCTTGAAAATGTGAAGAAGGTGTAACTTTACAGGAAGATGTTTAAAAAACTCTTGATTCGTAGTTGTTAACAGCTTCTTTCATAGTGGCTAAGCAAAAACAAAATGGTAGTAATGGATCGTCCTCTGCCTCGCGCAATCATATTTACGATAATAGCAATAAATAGTTACCGACAAAAATGATCACGTCGTCGCCAGCCTCATTGCTGCTGCCCCTTTTCTGTATTCGTGTGTACATATGCTCGCGACGAATTTTTGGCAGTAAAAACAACAACACAAAGTTAATTAACCCCACCCAGCATGTCCGTTGTCCTGCGTCCTGTTACCTTTTCCCTCGACTGAAGTCGTGGATTCATTTTACACATCATCAGATCAATCGACAAAAATTCATCATCTACGGTCCGTCTACATTATTGACAGGACAATGGATAAATTCAATATCTTTCAGAGGAGTTTTTTTCTCCACAATGCTAAAAGGCCTGGTCCATTAGAACTCTACATTTATGTCATACCATATGCAGTAGAAGCATGCCGTTACAGGTAAAGCTTGATCATTCTATATTAATATAATAAGAATTTGCTTAGCAGATTTTATTACTAATATAGGGCTACATTTCAGGTCGTATATAACGACGCTTCTATTTAATTTATAAGTTGCTTACCAAGGCCACAAGCCCGTTGACTTTCAGCGTGAACATATGCTGTGCATACGCTATAAGAAGTATTTCAAGAACAAGCGCCCTATGCCTGATTGGCTCCAGGCGGCAAGTACCCCGGCAGATGCCCCTAAGCACCTGTAAGTCACTAAGGTGGAGGGCCTTCTGGTACCTTCTAAACTCACCTGAAATGAACTGAAGTGAAAAACGTAGACAAGACACGAAAACAGCCGTGTTTCTACGCTTCGCCAACTTCAAGTGTACCAATTTATCCCGCCTGACATCTGTATTGGAACCTTCAACTGTAAAGCCACTAAGTTGGAAACTGTGCATAAAAACATTTGATAAAAAAAAAAAGTATTCGATCATAGTTAGCATTCGAGTGCTATATAGGCTGTATGCTTGAATAGAAAAAGCCTTCAAAGGCCTGAGTCCGAGCAGTCGTAGTAAGTACTGCTAGTACTGAAGAAGGACCAAATTTCTTTGGTGACTTCTAGTGGATTACTCGCTAAATTGAACACACAAATTAGATGGGAACATTACAGAAAATCAAACTGGCGTAAAAGTTTCAAGCGACCATGTTCGTGGTGCAGTTGTATTATAAAATACTGTTTTCCATATGGCGGATAGAAAAATTAATGACATTGTGTACGATGTTCTGTTATTTAGAGGTCGTGTTATTTTTAGCTGACGCCAAATCTAACGGTTACGAGCATAATAATGACGGGAAAAACTTAAGTGGGATCCAGCAACAGCACTGAACTCTGAGCATTATTAAGCAGAAAGGACATGATGCGTATAGTACCTTAGGCTTTTTGTTACCTAAAAATTTAATACCAGGATACTCAATTAGTGCATTATCAACATTAGCTGGCATGGTAGGCCATTTCAAGCAGTTTACTCTGCTGTTGCACAATAGCGGTCGAAAAGCGGTATCTCGAAACGGCGTTTTTCTTTCTATTGAGCTAGGGTCAAATTTACATTGACGACATTTCTTTTATAGAGATTTTTATACTTTTACATAGATGCAAATTCATTGAACATTGTGAGGCGTGTGTGCAGCTGTATATAAATGTACGGGCCGGTTGAGTCCGTTTTTTTCTTCGTCCAGTCGATGGAACGGAAATAGCTTCTTAGAGTTTGCCACATAGTAAACTTCACGATATATAGTGGCGGCAATTTGTCGCGGGGAACGTTTCCAGACATCTCAATATATCACTTTATTGCTCAACGAGGGGAAAGCTATCGAAACTAGCCCCATAACATCTGAAGGGGTTTCGATCTTGATGCAGGCGTTGTCACATATGTCATTTTAATCAGACGAGCCGGTATAGCAGATCAAAATAAAGAAAATAGTATTTCCGAAACGAATGGACATCTCTCAGTTATAGAAATTCTGAAACGGGTACTCAGACAAATATTAGTCTGTTTCATATAAAGGTTAATTCGTATAGACAGGACAAAACACGAGAAATATTTACACGTATTTGAGGTTTGTTTTTGGGAGCAGATGTTTTACTACCGTGTTTTCGCCTTATCATGCTCCACAGAGACTATTTAATACTGCCCATCTTTCTTACTATGACAATATTGTAGTTCTTAATTCGAGTTAGCACTTATCGAGGCATGATAAATGCCTTCTTTGTCATATCACGGAATAGATTTTAAACCGACAGGTATTCCTAGGGAAAAGGGTCTGATGAGTTTCATATCTAGTTCGGCCCCTAAATATGGAAACAACGCGCCTTCGAAAATACAGCTTTGTTCCATTTGTACACACACACACTATTGGGACGTATCTATATATTGCAATAAAGCATGTTATGTAATATAAGGATATATAAGCATATTAATAAAGACAGAAATATTTTCCGTCCGTGTTAGTCGCCTAAATATGGTATGGTAGAAATGAAAGCATACTCTTTGCCCAGACATGTTAGGTACGTTTAGAGATGGCGGCTCTAGGTGGCGGCTTAGAGGGTTCACGGCTACTAAGGTAGAAGTTTCGGGGAAAATAACAGCGTCATCTAGGTATAAACGTCAACCTGACCTATTTTGCTTGTAACAGGGAGCCCGCGAAGATACGATATAAAAAATTGAAGCAGTTTCAAACCACTACTGATAATAGCGAACAGCATCGGATTCAGGTGTCCTTATCCAACCAAGGGTCAGCGTGTCCTAAGAACACAACAGCAATAAAAATCGGCATCGTAAAATAAATATATAGGGGTACCTATATTGTCGTATACAGATGGGCAGAATAGAGGAAATTGTTCATTGGTATCGGGAGCGAGTGCCGTTAACATCGTCACTGGGCCTGTGGTGCACCCTGAGTTGGGCATCGTTAAAGCCTATACGTGCGCCTAATATACACACTTTGCCCATTTGACCGCATTCGGCTTATGTGATGGAGATAGTGAAATGAATTTGCGGACTTCAGATCGACCCAGCGTCCTTTTCGGGAGTCCGACAAACGGAAACATATAGACAAGCAGACTGAAGGACACACCCCGCCCGCTAGGCTACTGTGTGATAAAGGACAACCCAGTGGAAGGGGCAAAAAAAAGCATATTTCTAAAAAGTATTCAGTGAGCTATACGGCTTAGCCCAGACCACCATGCAACTCTATTAGCCTGTAAAAAAATCACACTAAAGCAACCGCTTTAGACAGACTATCTTGATAAAACAAATAAACACAGACTTTCAGTAACAGATGATGGGTAGAAATGCGTGTTTCTGAAAGCTCGTCTAATTTGCACCGAACTATTTGTTTTTTTTTTTTTTTTTAATCTAGCGGTCGTTATACGAATACTTGAGCCCTTATCTATCACTTAGGTTTAGCTAAGCGTGTAATGCTGTTCAAAACAATGACGACTTCATGATTTTTGGTTCGTACCACAGTCTGGAATGCTAGCGGATATCGTCTTTAAGAATTTTTATGTATACTATATCCTCTTATACGCCCATCGATTCAACTTAACATCGTGAGTATAACGATATTCATTAACTTGCACTGTTGACTCCCTCCCCTAAACCTTAAACCCGTTACTCTCAAGTTTTCGTGTCAAAGCAGAGACACTCAGAGCACTCTTTAGCTTGGTGTGAACTACATACCATTAGTTATACAGGGATAAACCGCGCTACGTGCAGGGAATGTTTTCATATGTGCGAGTCTGCCTCTGGGCAAATGTCTCTGTTTTGGATACGTGTTGTTCCAAAGTCACAATCAGTTGTTTAGTAGGCCTGGTGCGGTCTATGACAATAACCACATGTTCAACATGATTATCTAACGAAAAGTTCGACCTGGACTGTCCAAGTTTTCTTATGCGCCATTTGCACAATAGTAAGTTATGCTATGCTTCATGTCACAACGAATTATTATGATAATGGCAAATTTCGAAAATATTCTAGTGTATCCGAATCATTGCGGCAGTCAGTATTCATTCGAGTCATTTAGTTTTTTTTTCTTTTTTTTGCTACGATGACGTAAAAACGTCAATCTAGATAAAGTAACTAGCAGGTTTAGTCAAAGTCTTAACTATAAACTATAAGCTACTAATGAATTATACTCCAGTTGTATTATAGTACAGTCTGAGACCGACAGCTCCAGTAGGTGTTAGCATGTAAGTGATAGACGCGGATCTGATGACGAAACATTATTAATAATAGCTGGCTTTCGGGAAGATTCGCACCAAGTGACTGCCGAAATCGTCGACAAAGACGTTCAGCGATGTTACCAAGTACAAATATATCAGGGGAGGATATCTTTGCCACACAAGACTTGCTTCGGAGAGCTGTTAAAGATACTCCTACAACCTCGCCTGAAAAAATCAACATGGTGCATACAGGTGATGACAACAGGCGCATTGTTGATCACTGTGCAAAACTAAAGAGTGCAGTTGAAAAATTTTTGCACCAACAACGAGGAGAAACTTGTTTAAACCTACCGCAAAAATACTCATCGAAAGCATTTATAGACTGTGAGATGAACTTAACAATTGGTGATGATCAACGCGCTGACATGGGAGATATTTCCTACGGAGAAGATCAAAGTCGAGAGATGCGAGGTAGAACCGAAGGACACGATGCAGATCTCACGTGTTCTCGAAAAGATGTTGAGATACTCCAACAACACCAACGATCGAGTCAGGAGTCACCAGTAGACAAGCGGAGTTCCTATAGAAAGGAATTTACACCCGGCAGGAGCACGAGCAGTGACGTGAACGACTATGCAGCGAGTAAGCGGCCCTTTCAAGACCTGTCGCCCACCAGGGTGTTAGGTCAGATTGAACATGAGTCTCGAAAAAGGCTGTACTCTATCGAAGAAGAGTCTGCGTCTAAAAAGTACCACAAAGACTTCATGCTGTTGGTAAGTATGTTGAAGCGATGCAGAGTGCGTAAACTGACTGAAGGCAAATTCAAATAATGAACAACGGTAATGTACGCATTCTGGGGTCTAAACGTAACCTGTTTATGTTTCTGAAGTTCATATTGTTGTTTCGTAATGCTAATAGGAAAACAGTAAAAGGCCAAAAATAAGAAAGAATCATCGTTTTTTTTACACCTGGCTAAGTTCCAAATGTTTCCTCATCGTATTTTGTCATAGACAGCTAGTGGAACCATATAGCAAAATGAGTAATCGCTGTTTCTACGCACAATACTGAAATAACACAGTGTTATACAAGGATGGAGCGAGAATGGTCTGAAAAATATACAATTCATAGGTTCACTTACGGATAATTACACCTAGAAAAACACTTTTTCTATTAATAGTAAATTTTCTGAGCAGCAAAACACGCAAACGTCTCTGTTCTGTTTTTATTGTAATTCAATAGGAATCATCCAATGGAAATGATCATTCGCAGAAAGGAGTTCGACGATCCGTCAAGGAAAAACATAGTGTGTGTCCATTAAATAACGGATCATCGGTAGGTATTGTCACGAGGTAAAGTGCACAACATAATATGTTTAAGAAATGCGCAAGTTAGAAGTGAATATTTTAAATTATTCACACGAGGACCTTCGCGAGGCACCTATTATTAGTTTATTTTATAAAATTTTCGAAATTATTCAGCACTGGCTGTTTCTACAGCTTGCCAGTTTGCAATAGGACTATACTTACCCGTTCTCGTTATTAATCTTGTGTCAGTGAGCCCTAACAGTTTAATGAATGTACACAAAAGACTTTAGTATTGCAATAAATCGTTGAAGGAACCCACTGACTGTTGAAATAACGGATACTAAATCTTTTTCTATTACTCAGATGGCTTGGGTGTCCAGCACGGAACCTCAGTTGATCGCATCTATTTTGAACGGAAATATGGACGAGCCTTATAAAGATTATAGCTCACATCTCAGTTTAAATGATCGCCCCCAACGTTGCAGTTCATCTCGAAACATTTCAGAGGCTGCAGTTCAAGGTACTCTACCTGCTACTGAATATAACTGCACTTCGCCGTCCGCAAACGTATTGAAAGTCACCATTATGACGTAAGCTTTCGGTCTGCAATTAAGTCCTTATAAATCTATACCTTATAAAACCACGAAAATAACAATATCGCTCCATTTACCAGTTCTGCGACGGTACCATTAACAATTAGGAACAACTGTATACTAAAATTTATGCCGATATTTTTTAGGCGCAGTTGACCCACCAACTTATGCAAGATCTGCCTGCTGAGGCCTTTAAGGATTATTCTCTAAGAAGTTAATGCTTGCAAAACGCAAACATCTTCTTTCCATACGGAAATTTGTTATTATTTTCAGCATTTACAGCTCAATTTAGTTCTTTAATTACTAAGGTCTGCTTGTATACAATTCCCTTTGCATCAATGTTCAATTCTAGGCGACGTCGGCTACAACTTCCAGAGGTGTCGAAACAATGGCCAAAACTATTACGCTGTCTTCGATCATCTGTAGAACATACGTTTCGAGGCCATAATGGCGTTAACCTAAAGCTTCACGCAAATTGTCCCGGCTTGAACGAATACTTGGAAATGTGGTTACAACTTAAGGTGCTGATGAAAAAAGCGAACTCAGCTACTAATAGTGCTGATATAAGGTAAAAGACAACTTATTTGCGGCGGGCTTGATTCTCCGCTCTGCCAGGCATTCCTTACAATAAAAAAAAGTGTTGCAGAATAGTGCATACTCAGTCTGAACGGATACTTTAAGACGCAAATATATTATAAAATAAATTTGATGTGTGGATCACAGAAAAGTAATCTTATTATAGGTCGGTGTAAAGAAATAACTTATAACCAATAATTCATCATAATTTTTTCTAAGAGCTTTATGTCCTTACAATATTTTAAGGCAGTGCGAGACGCAAGTGGTCACTCACATCCAGGAACTCTTGTCTGTGTCGGTCTGCATTTCTGCAGACGTCAACGCCTTAACGCGGCCTGCACAGGTACTAGCAGACCCCACTACCTTGTGCAGGTTGGACTTCCATTTATTTCAATTAGCCTAACATTTGATCACGTTAACATCTTCATTAAAATATCATAAACAGCTAGGATATATAGGCCAAGGAGCAGGTTGGCCATTGGAGGCCGTAGGCCAACAAACGGTTATCTGCAAACAATTTTTGCCATGCCACTATTTCACTAGTGACATATCCCGGTCTGTACGAACGTCTTATTCTACTAAAATCTGGGAAGATGAATAGTGGATTTGCTATTAAGGATCGTAATATTTCTTCTTCTATGCAATTTTCAGTCAATTAAGGACATCTGAATGGAGCAAACTAATCGAGTCTATCTGCGCCTTCCGAAACATGTACACGAGGAACATGAAGTTATTTACAGCATGAACTAACTGTCGTTTTTTACTGCTACGCAACGGATTCAGATTGTTTATTGCAAATAGTAAATGTCTATTTGTAAAAAGTCAGTATACAAATCTGAGGTTTTTTGTTGTAGCGTTACGCCTTATTTGAGAAGGCAGCCAGCATTTTCAAGCGTCATGTAACCTTGGAAGGTGATCAATCCTGAAAACATCGTATTTTTTTATTTAGGAAACGTCTCGTATTTATGCACGCATTGTTTTATCTAAATGTAACTTGAAAAAGAGATAAACTTGAGATAATACTACCAAGATTACGCCAAATCTATTAGTAGCAGGAAATAGAAATGTGGAAATTCGTGGAACAGGAACAGCAGTTATCGAAGCCTTAGCTATTTTAATTCGGGAAAAAAAATCACTGAAAAAAGTAATTCGCTTTTAACGCCACAATCCCTATTCCCTTCTTCTTTTGCGATACAGCAATAAGTTACGTAGGTAGAACCTTAATTAGGTTATTGTTATTGTTAAATTGCGGTCCTTTTTTTTTGATTAAAAAAGACGATTAACTAGGATTTGTTTGCTGAACTATATCAATCTGAAATCTTTTGCAATGTTGAAGGAATAAATTGAAAAATATTAAGTCATGACAAAGCCAAGCTTTGCACCCGTAGGTTTTATTCGTTTCTTTTCCTTTTTTAGGTAACAGCTCGCTGTCAAAAGGACAATTGATCCGATCATCATACAATCTTTGCAATATCTACAAAACAAACTATTATTATTCTTTTTATATCAAACATCAACTTGTTAGATTGAGGTAGAAGGCCCATAACTAATCGTTTCTTTCGGGAAAGGAAAAAACAACGTGTAGTTCCATTGTGAACTAGGTATAATTTCGAAAACATTCGAATGCTTTTATATAAGTGATAATCGACGCGATGTTAGTTGTATAGATGTTTGTGCTAGTTTTTCCGCTAAGGCTGGTTGCAGACAGACGTCTAATATTCATAGTTTAATGTTGCAGCTTCACACAACAGCCCTAAGGTCTAAACGTATAACATCGTGTTGTTTAGGAGAACAATATGCTACTATACATCAGGTACTACTCGAAAGGACTTCTCCATCGCTTGCTTCGAGACCCGTGGCAGGATAGGACTGTTCAGCCTTCTAGCGTGTAATACAACAATGTTTCACATAGGAAAGTGAGCCTTTAATCGTTTTATGCTGATAAGGTATAGAACTGAATAGATCGAACAGCTATTGGCCGAAACTAACTATTCTTCGTTACTTTTTTTTTTCTTAAAAAGCAAAAAGAAAGTAACCAGCTTCCTAACGCAACAAATGGCCAACTTTCTATTTTTCTGCGTTTGACAGAGGCTTGTCATCAATCCCCAACGCGAAACCTTTTGTGGGTTTTCAGTTTGCTTTAATGTTGTTTTTTTTTTGTCGATCCATACTAGAACAAGTGTCTATAACTACACGTGTTAATATCTTAGAAAAGTTCAAAGCGAAACCGACCGTGTATGAATTGCAGAAAAAACATAATTTCGTTAATAATAAACAGTGAGCGGTAGAAGAGTTTACGGAGTGCAGTTTGTAATATTAACGGTAAACAATATATTCACGTTCATACGCATTACTTCTTCAAAAAATCACTGAAGCTACCCAAGAAGCGAGTATGTACCTTAATATAGATATTGCTGCTCGAAATACTTAGCGCAATGAAAACCCTTAAAAGGACGCCCTATACCGCTTTCCAAAATGGGACGGTACATTTCTTCGGAGCACGATTGCATTTGTGATATTTAAACAACTGCCTGTGAAGAACAGTGTGACGCTTATTACGGATTTTTCAGATAAGCGATCCCTTCCCTATAATATTTGATAATTGTACGCTGATCTATGTAGCACTCATTTAAGTAGTTAGAAATCAAAATGAAGCATAACACACTTAATACTTCAGACAGTCCTAGAATTGGTAGATCTGGCTCATCGTATAAGACAACCATCGACTCCTAGAAAAATACGCGCTGCCTTTGGTGGAGAGTCAATCGACAGGAGAGGCAAGACGTTTTCCCATAATAGACGAAATTGAACTTACGTGTCTTGATTTAGTCGTTGGTAAAGTTCCACAATATATACTTCGACTTTGTATTTCCCTTTGTAAAATCCAGCTCTGTGTTCTATTCGGATTTTCTTTTTGCAGTCCCAGATAGAAGCCAACAACAGGAAAAAACGCTGGTTTTTAACATTTCAACATGTTTAACTTTATTTAATTAATGTTTTTTATTCAATTGTTCCTAATTACCAGTAAACGATAAACAAGTGCTGTTAGTGTCTGTAGCACGCTTGTGATTCAGAATATTGAATAAAAGAACAGCATTAACGGTAACCATCATCGAAACTGTTTGTTTTTTCAATCCTCAGGGACAAGCAGGTGTCACTTAATCTAAACTCCCATATACATTTTGTAGTCAAAGTTGGCTCAGTAAAAAAGTTAAGAATCCCAAAAAAAAGCAAACAGCCGTATAACCTCAGAGTTCTACGTAATCATAGCGTTACGATAAATGCGTATGCTATTTTATAGTCCTTGGTTTCTGGCAATTTAGCAAACCTGCCTTGAATCCCACATTAACATTGACTTTGTACAAGACACACTTTTTCGAAATGTGCGGTGAGCTGAAGGGTGACGATGGCGAGGATTCAGATGAAACCACACAACTTCACATGATAGTGAAGAACTCTCAGGAGGTTAGTTTTTCTCACCACCGCCTGGTGGCAGCAGGAGGACGGTATAGCGCCAAACTTTGCCAGTCTGCCAAGGCAGCTATTCGCTGTTAGGCCCTGTTGCCGTCGCTACTAATGTGAGTTAATATAAATATATATACTTTGATACTGTACTGCTGCCATATCGCAAAAGCAGCATCGATAGCAGCAATCTTTCCATTGAAGCTTGCCTTTGTTAGCTTCCAGAGTTACATTATTCTGTTTTCTGACGCGGACAACTTCTAATCTGACGTAGATACCAAGTTCTTGCATATTAGGGCTTACTGTGGCAAGGGAGAGCCTGAGAAGTGGCAAAGCCAAGCCAATGACAGCCGCGGTAACGGCTAGCTAGAAGTTCATTGGAAGCGGCTCAACAGCACGCTCCTTCAACCGGTGCGTACCGTGCGGCAGTCGCCCTTCCAAGTTATTTAAACGCGTTGCTGCTGACTGTGGTAGCTGCCTGGCCCAACTGAAGTGCCCAGTTGTCGAGTGATCTAAGTCGATGGAAGCAATGTCCTCGAATGCTCGCAGCGGCATGATGGCGACGGCCGCTACAGCTGCTACTGCTGCCGGGCCATACCGTTTCTCCGCATGCCTTGCTATCTGCCACCCACCCGTTGTCTTCTGCCTCCTTTAACCGACCAGCACGCAAGCGTCGCGGAAATGGCTATTGTCCAACATGGGTATGGAGCAAAGGTGATTTGGTGCCTTCACTTATATGTTGACATGACGGCATGGATGAGACAACTTTGCGGATAAGTACATTATTTTACACTGGAACGAACCATAAACAAATATAAGCCGGTTGATGCATTTTCTTCAATTCAACATCACATCACGCAAGACAAGAGTCTTTTCCGTTCCCCACCAATTAGTTCCTGACGAAGACCCAGCCAGGCAAAGAGAACTAGATGTTATCAGAATAACAAGCTCAGTATTATCGTGCGTTATGTACGTGATCGTTTAATATCTTCAATGTGATTCTCGACGTGCGAATCTTTTTTAAAATTCGGTTTGTCTCTTCGTACGTAACACTGATGCTTGGTGGAGGTCCACATACAAATGTTTATGACCACTGCAGGAATGAAATTTTCTAAAGCTTGTGTATATTAAGTACTTACAGTACGTACATCATCTTGTTATTGTCGAATTAATTCACTATAGCTGTATATTTATCGTTACGTACAATCCGCTTTAGGCGTTAACGAAGTATAATCGTTCTAAGTCATACTTCAAACTCCTCTGTGATGCGAAGAAGAGGTTCCACCAGAGGTCGGCTTGTGTACTTGTTCGTATGGACTCAAACGAGTGCAGTATCCCATCTATAAAACGTAGCGCGTCTATGCTTGGGACGTGACTCGACCAAAAAATTGAATTATAAGCCCAATGACAAAGGTATTTTCGTCATTGGGCATCATTATTCCGAGCCTCAAAGGTGCATTTGTTCTCACAGTAAAACTACAGGTGTCGCAGTCGGTTATTCTTCGGAGGGAAAAATTCCCCACTAACGTGCTCACGAGCTCGATCAAAGATGATTACATCGAAATTTTTATCAGAAGTGCGGTGTATTATTGAGATGGGGTAGAAGTTGCAATTCTATAAACGTTGCTTGTAAAGTCATTGGGCAAGAGAAAAGGGCTTTTGAATTGAAT